CACTGCCGTAGACATATGGTAGATGTGACAGAAAATGCACACCAATAGAACATCCATACGCAGCGCTAGTGAATCGAGGCGATTGATATCAATCAAGGCAAGACTATTCGTACCGCTCTGCGCTGGATGCGGTCAAGTGGAAGGAGCTGGTACTGGGGTGCCTCGACCCAGAAATGAGAACAATATTCGATGTAAGGCTGAACTTGCGGTTTCTAAAGTTGCAAACGGTACAAGATATAAGCGCCGGCATGAAATACTGTCTTCCTCTGCTGAGTACGCTAAACTTTTTAAAGGCCAATTTGGCCTTCAATTCCAAGTGACCACGAAACTGCGATACAGATATAGCTAAAGAAATTAAATATTTTACAGCTATTTCTGATTGCACGAGAGTAAACTGTCTATCCAGCGGACAGTCGATGACGACAGTAACTCAAGTACATAAGACGCCTAAGTGATCAACATAACTTGAGGTTTATATTAACATTGAAGCATTTTTTGAAAATATTTTAAGATATCAATAATATTAAGAAAACCGACGATCTGTGGGGATTTCCGTTAAAGTTATTGCGTCTATAATAGATATAATCGCACCTCAACTATCTATTATTTTTAATACTAGTATCGAATCTGGTGTGTTTCCTGATTTAATGAAGAATAGTAAAGTAATACCTTTATGTAAATCTGACTCCGCTAATTTTAGAACTATTTCTGTACTGCCGACACTTAGTAAAATTTTTGAAAAAATTATTCTTGATCGAATGTTAAATTAGTTTAATCTAAATAATTTACTTCATAAAAATCAATTCGGTTTCACAAAAGGGGTTGCTCGACAAATGACGCTGGCTTTTGGTTGAGCTGATTAAATATATCTTTAATGTATGGAAGAATTCACAGGATGCTTTGGGTATATTCTGTGACCTATCCAAAGCCTTCGATTGTGTTCACCATGAAACATTAATCAGGAAACTTCGATGTAAGAAGTGATTCTCATAAATTAATTATTTCATATTTAAGTGACAGAACGTAAAAAGTTTTCATTATGAGTATGAGTTCTTCCGGGTTGATTGTACAAATGGGCGTGCCTCAGGACTCAATTCTCGGCCCCTTTCTGTATCTCGTATATATTAATGACTTACCTTACATAGTAGGGGATAACCATGATATAGTATTATTTGCTGATGATATTTCATTAATTTTCAAATTAAAACGACAGTTATTAAATAACGACGAAGTAAATAATGCCACAGCTAAGTTAGTCAATTGGTTTAATGTTAATAAATTGCATTTGAATGGAACGAAAACTAAATGTATGAAATTCGTAACTTAATGTCTAATATGTTAATTCTAATGTAATTTTAAATGGCAAGGAACTGAGTCCTGCTGATACCACCATTTTTCTTGGTATCACACTAGACGCAAAGCTTCAATAGCTCCCCCATATATCAAAACTAGCCAGCAGACTTAGTTCTGAAGCATATGCTTTAAAAAAAGATTGGAACTCTTACCAGTGTTGAAACAGCTAGAATAGCTTACTTTAGTTATTTCCATAGCAATATGTCTTATGGTATTTTGCTATGGAGACACGCGACTGACTCTGAAATTATATTTATTTTACAGAAGAAAGCCATTAGAGCAATATATAATTTAAAACCATAAGAGTCACTGAGACAAAAATTTAAAGAAATTAATATATTAATGCTGGCCTCTCAATACATTTATGCAAATGTAATTTACGTACACAAAAATAAAAGTAGTTTTGCAAAAATAAGTGATATTCGTACTGTAAATACTAGGAACAGACACAATTTAGTAGTACCAGTTACTCGACTCCACCGAGTCAGTAATTCATTATTGGGGCGATTTTACAACAAAATCCCAGAAAAAAATACAAAATTTGTCATACGCGAAGTTCAAAAATTTTATTTTGTATAAAAAGGGTTATTATAATATTAAGGAATTTATGAGTGATAATAATCCCTGGGAAGTGTGATCGCTACCATGCTATTTCTAATTTGTCTTGTGTTGTTAATTTTAAACATTGTTTATAATCTACATTGAATAAAATCTGTTCTAAGTTTTATAAAATAATAATTTTTTCGTGTTGTATTAAGTTAAATAACGCATACCTATATACTATATTTAGTTTAGTTTTCTTTATTTTTCCTGTGTATTGTTCCCCTTTGGAGGGAGGGGGGGGCACATAAATTTTAATTTTTGTTTAGAAGTGTCATAGATTAAATTGTTTGACTTTTATAAATTAAAAACATCATTTTCTATCTATTAAAATAAAAATAAAATTAAAAGTTCATAAGATATTTTTTTAAATAAGTAAGTATAAAGACAATATAATATTTATACGTGGTAGAGTCACACTGTAGCTCTATTATGGTCGTAGCACGAATGGGTCTGCTCGACCGGGGAAGGACCACAGTCTCACACAATACTAGCGTAAAATTACTTCTGTGGTTCGTATAGTGAGTGTAGAGACCCTTTTTGAAACGAGGCATTCGATCTTAGTCCTCAGGCGTGACCACGCATTTGCGTTTTGATTCTTAACCGAGGATAAATGTAGATGTCTGTGGGCCACAACATCCACTTACCATCAGTTGGGCTGTGTGCTCGTTTGTCACTCCAATTCTATAAAAAAATATTAATTATGGGTAATTTTATTTATTTAATAAATGTGTTATTTATTTTTCAGTGTTTATTTTAATGATTAAAAAATTAAATTACCCATCTTTAGAGTGCGCGACACCTCATTGATACTTGCACTTCCGGAGTACGCTAGCCGTAGGTATATAACGCTAGACCCTGTGAGCCTGTTACGCACAAAAATCTAAATTTAAATATTATTTAGATTTCTGTGCTGTGACCCGACGAGTGACGGAACCCTGCTATAAGCACGCTCTTTCACGGTCAGTTTGGCTTTGGCGTGAAGCAAATGAACTGAAGCCAGCGGATTACACAGAATCCCAGCTTGAAATAGCGTTGCTGCTGTTTAGTGTAAATAATAATAGACCTTTTTATTGGTTACTAGCTGGTACCCGGCGCGTTGCTGCCACAGAAGAAATAATTGCTTTAATTTCGTTTTAAATTTGGAAGAGTCATATTGTTTAATTGGGAATGATTATACATTATTTGAAGTTGAATGAAATATAACTTTCTAACCGTCGCTATGAAGCGCGCGCCACCTACCGTAAGTTAATTTTACTATGTCTATAACCTCCGCGCAAGTGCAAGCAATAGGTTGATAAAGTTTTACCGCAATCTAATAACTACTTACCGACAAACTCAGACTGCGTACATTTTAAGGGCAACCACCAAGTCAAAACCATGCTCGACATATTGTAAGAACTACGTACCTATACATATGCATTTAAAATCATTTGCAACTAACAGCCATTGAAGTGATATGTTCTCGTTATGCTGACATAAAATTTGGTAGAAGAAACTCCGTGACTTGATGTTTGCAACACGTCTTACGTCCACGGGCTCAAACTTTCTTAATCCGTGTCTGTTGCTCCACAGATTTTGTTCGCGGTGCCTGTTCTAGTAGGTATGTTAAAGTAACATCGAAGTTTCCATCGAATATCATACGAAACAAACCAAAATTGAGCACTCATTATGTTAAAACATCCATATTGCATTTGTCAATACGCCTGCAAAGTGTGTTATTGTATGCTGTAACAAATACTAAAGTAAAGTAACAAACTACATGCGTCCCACTTTTGGCACAAGCCTCATCTCATTCCTGAGAGTGACCTCTAAATTATTATTTTTACTCGTTTACATACATGCAGTTTTCTCATGATATCGACGAGTTCTTGGTAATTAGCACTTAAAATAGTAATTATCAATGTTATTAAAAGTTAAAGTTTCAGCCTATATACGTCCCACTGCTTGACGCAGACCTCCTCTTTTTTCTGTGAGAGTTTTAGGGCAAGAAAGTGTCCGACGCGCTGCCCCATTGCGTGTTGGCGAACTTCACATGTCTTCGAAATATTTTTGTTTGTTCCTTCACCTGCGGGAACGTAGTATATTAGCACTTTTTGCTGGTAGTATATTGGTGCTGGCGGGGTCGAACCCGGGTTGCTCGCGTAGTATGAAATTACAGCGAACACTTAGCCTCTGAGCTACCACGGTTCTAGTGCGTTATATATTATTTCGTGGCAACAACATGGTTTAGATGGATATGTGCGCATCCAGCATTAAACTTTTACGGGCTGATTAAGAAAGAGAGAATATAGAATGTGTGTGTAACTGGCTGTCAAGAAGTTGAGCGTGATTTCGGTGTGTATCTATTTATTCATAGTGTATCTTTCTTTGTTGGTGTGAACTTACAAAATATAAACTTTTTTATCTCATTTTTTTATTATTTTATATATACATACCCGATCGTGCATACTTATCTATCTAATTAAAGTAAACAAATATAACTTTAATTAGGAACTGGAAAATAAAAAAACAAACGCAGTCATAACGACAGCCGACAGAAGTGAAAACTTAATTATATATGCGTATACATGTATACACGAGCCGCTATACAACGCGTCGCGTCACTAGGCTAGCTCAAGCCAGACATGCTCGTGCGTACTGCGTGCAAGCGCCACAAGCATGTCGAGATCATCGGTGACGCGAACCCATAAGTTTTTCCTCTAGCAAAAATTGTTCAAAGCGGCTAAGAAAGTTTTACTTCAAAAATTCTAATGAAAATTTCTTAAATACGAAGGAAAACTTAAAAATTCCATCGAATATTTCAATAGAAGTTTCTACATTTCTATATTTCATTATGACGTACCTATTTTTATTTTATTTTTTAATTATTGTTTTAAGCCAGTGCTCGCCTACAATCCCACCAGGTGCTGATGAGTGAGCTGAGTTATAATGAAGCTCCAGATGTTAAATCGCACTCCTATAGCATAACAAAAACCTATTTAATCTTGCCTTGTAAAAGCCCAGATTGTAAATAGGTAGTAAGGCAGATTTATCATGATTAATATTCATGATTTACAGCTGGTAAATCCAGGGCCAATGCAGGCGGCGAAAGCAATGGCATGAGGAATGAAATTCTGCTCGTAATTTCCAGTGAAGAGATGCGACCATGGTCCTTTGGCAAAGATCGCCACGTCCTCCCCGCCGTGGGTTTCTCTGGCTATCGGTACCAACGATGGGTACGTATAGTTGAGGTTTCCTGAAATTACACCAGTTACATACGCTATATATACTTCTTGTTGAAAGGTCAAAACTTAAATACTTTTAAATTTTTCAATTACATATTCTTCGATGTGACATAATTAACATAAGGAATTTTTGAGGTTTTTTTTTATGCAAGAAATGTTTTACATTAATTTCAAGACGAATTTATACAGAATATACAATTACGTCTACTCAATAATGAAATTAGTGTTGGTCATTTCCTGGACATCATGGATAATGTATAAATTCTGCAATAGCAGAATTTATACATTACTTATTATAATTTAAAACAAAGAAGTTTAATTTGGTTTAAGTGCAATACGTAACATGATTTTTTATTAAATTTTTGTTAATTAATTATTCAACAATAATATGTTAACGTATGAATATATATTCTGTTGAACTGTAGTTGGGGTGTAAAGGCGGGACAACAATCAAAAAGTGAATTCCGATTATCCATCCTTTCTAGGGGATAAACGAACACGCGTTTCCGAGTATCCACCCTAGGGTGGATTTCTTATGGCGGATAAACGGGATAACTCTATAAAAGTAGAATAATAAAAACGATCAAGTGAAAGTAGAGAGTGATATTGATGAGAGAGCACTACATTCTTTATTATTAAGGTGCAGCAAGGTTTAATATGGCTGGTCTATTTCCATTTCAGCCTACTAATACGTTGGGCTATTTCGGTTACTCTTGTTCTACTACGAATATTCTCGCCTAGCCATATAGCTTGAAAACCGGCAACCGATGGGGAAGAAGGATTTTAGCGTGGCAGCCTCGTACCGGTAGGCGAAGTGTGGTGCGACCTCCCACTGGATGGAGTGATGACCTGGTAAGACATGCAGGAAGTCCATGGATACAGGTGGCTCAGTACCGTTCTTTGTGGCTTTACTTGGGGGTGGCTTCTGTTCAGCAGTGGACATGTAAAGTGCAGTAATGATGATGATAATGATAAGATTTAATATCAATTTTATCTCGACTTTTGCGGTTTTTATGGGAAAATCGTTTTGACTGACAGCTTCGCAAACACTAACGAATTGTTTCTTTAACAGTAGTGTCGAGTATAGTTAACCAGATAAAAAAGACACAATCAACATTTTAGTATCGTTTTCTCACCTATATCATCCAACATTAAGTTATGTCTTTGGAACTCCTCATGAGGCTTATAGCCAGGTCCATTCGCGTAGCTAAGAGTCGTATACGGCATGTTATCTGACGCGTTCATCTGGAAAATAAAAAATAAAATTATATATATATACAATTCAAAAGGGTTTTAAAATTCATCATTATCGTATCGTCACCATTTATCGTTACAGCCCTTCACAAGTTCGGGTTTTAATTAGTTAATTTTAATTCAGATTTTTAGGCTCGTATCAATGTGTATATTGTAATGATCCTACCTCCTCCTCATGTCTGTAGTTTATAGCAGTTAGTAGTTTATATTCTGTAGTTTATGTTAATATATATACGTATATATAACTTTATGAATATGTTTAATATCAGTAGTTTATTTTTTCTGATTTACTACAATGGTTTTTTTTCATAAATGGCACCTATCACTATATTTTCCATACGTCCCGGGGAGAGAATGCGAAAAGACATTAAGTGCGCCCTTTGTAATCCTTTTATTAAGATTTACAATGAAGTGTAAATAAATAAATAAATAATCCCTGAGATGAGATGTTGCCAAAGTGTCTACGAACCTAGCATCCCACGTTAGGGCCGAGGGACCAAAGTGATCCCGTCGTGGTTGCAGCCATTATCTCTGAATGTTCCACAAACCAAGTAACATTTATAGAGACTAGTTTTGTTTTATTTATGATTTTTCAGTGGCAAAGCTTTGTCCACAAGAGGTGCCGAGAGATGGGAGTTTCTAGACCAAATTGGCGATGAATTGTAGATGGATCAAATTCAAACTATTCTCAACCGACAAAAATATCTACGTAAATATATCTAATTGATATAAAATAATCTAGAAAGAATCTTACTATATTCGTGAATCCCAAGATATCAGTCCCTCGTTTACTATATCCGCTGTACGACATGGTGTGGCTGTGATCTGATGTCACAACAATAAGGGTTTCCTCAGTATCCACCATCCTCAATGCTAATTCCACCGCCTTCGCTAATTCAGCTGTTTCGTCCAAAGCTTTACGAGCTTTCGTCTCATGGTGAGCTGTGTCTATTCTCCCACCTGTAAGAATATTATTACGTACACATTATAATATCTAATTTAAAACGTGATAGAGCCGCGCTGCAGCTATGTTAGGGTTGCACGAATGGGTCGACTCAACCGGGGAAGGACCACGCTCTCACAGAATAGTAGTGTAAAAACATGTGAAAATAAATTTATAATAAACACTGTACTGTATTCTAACTCATACTCTCGCAGGCTAAATCCTATAATAGGATAGATCTGTAGGATTCCTATAGATATATGTTTGTCCCTTTTTAATGTCGTTTTTTCTTTTCCTCGAGTTTATCTTATCGCCCAGGAGTAACAATGCATCGACATTTTGTTTATAAGCCGATAATAAATGTTTCTGTCATCTACTTACAATTAAGTGGACTGTGTACTCGTTTGTCAACATATTTTATAAAAAAAAAAAACAAGAAAAAAGTTATGTTAAAAGTTAAATTTAGTTCTCTTGTGATAGCAGGAGAGATAGAAAATATAGCTCTTTCCGATATTATTAGAGACAACAAAAACAAAACTTCATCAAAAAAGTAACTCACTTTAAAAATTAAAACGAATAGAACAATTCTCCATAATAGCTAATGAAGTTGATGCTTAGTCATAATGCATCAATTACCTAATTAAAGCCCCGACTTCAGAAACCATAATGTTTTTTTTTTTATATATAGAATAAGGCTGACAAACGAGTATACAGTCTAACTGATGGTAAGTGGTTGCTGCGGCCCATAGACATCTACATCTATCCTCGATTATCAATTGCTATTTTAAGCTGGTATTCTGTGAGAGCATGGTCCCTCCCCAGTCGAGCCGACCCATTCGTGCTACAACTATACTACTTATATAGCTTAAGCTTGACTCTACTGCGTATAATGTACGTACGTACGTATGAACGTACGGGTGTAAAATAAGAATATTTATATTATAAGTTACAAAATGAACTATTAATGGGAGTCTTCAATAAATGTTATTTTATTTCGATATTTAATAAACGTTGTACCCTTTATTTTTCTACTTCACCTACGTCAAACTCTCCATAGTAAATGGGTCGACAGGTAGAGGACACCTAAAGGCATTAAGGCCGCCCTTTGTAATCTTTTTGGTACAGGGGAAAAAGGACAAATAATTCACATATAAATACATACATTCGTAACTAAATTTATATAAATAACGCCTAAGGTCAGTTTAAAGGCAAAGTATCTCCTCTATATTTTATCGCTATTAAATCAAACAAATAATGTTATTTAAAATACATAAAAGCTAAAATGAATTAAAAAGTTTGTTTTATGGTTAAAATAAATAAATTGTATTTGTCTATTAACTTTAGACATTCCTTTGTTACTCTTAATTTAATTTTGACAGCTTTTGATAGATTAACGAAATATCAATTCCCGTCAGAATATAATAAACTAAGTACACAAAAGAGATTATGTTTACTAAATATTAAGTTAGACCTTATTGTATTTAAAATAATAATATTTATTTTGCTATCACATTATATCATCATCATTATCACAGCCTATAAAAGTCCACTGCTGAACATAGACCTCCCCCATACATTCCTCACAGGGGGGATTTTGCCATAGTTAACACGCTTGGCGAGCGGATTGTTAACCGCAGTTTTTTATTAACCACCTAGGCCCTTATCAGATCATTGAGTTGTTATCAGGAAGATGCTGCTGCCCGTCGCCTGTTTCAATTGCCCTCCTCTCCCGCATTATAGGTATATCTGACTTTTATAACGAAAGAAAACGTCCTTTAATAAAGTAGGTATACATCGTCCGTCACCCGTCGAGGTATACATCCATCCATAAATTACAGCTGTAAAAGTTTACTGTTGAACGTGGGCCTCCTCCGTCGTTCCAAGAGAGGATTTTGTAATAGTTTCCACGCTTGGCCGGCGTTGGCAACGCAGTTTCTTATTATAAGTTGTTAAGAGGAAGATGCTCCTGCCCATCTTCTCTTTCAGGTTCCCTCTAACGACACTTACGAGACGATATGGGATGGTGGATATACTTACGCCGCTACTACACTTTTTGATAAGTACACACTTTTATGTAAAACCAATAAAACACTTATTTTTAATATCAGAACTCACAGCTTTCAGTGGTGGACTCCAATACCTACTATAGTTATAAACGACGATGAAGCCCTAGATGGTAAAGCGTAACAAATTATATTCACTATTGCCTATTGTTTTTCTTCAATTCGGCTTCAGCTATGCACTCTTGGTCATGGTCTACTTCCACAGTTTTGTTTTCTAATTCATTTTATTCGTGACAATAGTCATACTTGGCTGTCAAATTGGCAAACACAACTTTGAAACTGCCCTCCGGTTACTCTACATACAGTATACAAATATCTCTTTCGCCACTCTTTGAAAGACATAATATTATGCTACCACCACACATACATGTACCCTTTGTATTCAAGATAACCCGCTAACAACTAAATATTAACGTGTTTTTTTATAAAATAAGGGTGACAAACGAGCACACAGTCCACCTGATGGGGAGTGGTTGTTGTGGCCCATAGACATCTACATCTACCATCGATTACCACTTAAAAAGGCAGATGTGTTGTCACCCGTGAGGACTAAGATGGAATTCCCCGTTTCCAGTAAAAAGGGTCTCCGGTTACTGCACAAAACACAGCAGCATTAAGCAACTATTTTACGCCGGTATTCTGTGAGTATTGAATAACCTGTAAAATAATATCACGTCCACTAGTTGGTAGGACTCCTTATCTGTCTGAGCGTTGGCCTAGGTAGGTACCACCAAACAGCAGTACCTGCATTGATGTGTTCCAGTCTGGGAGGGTAGACAGCCAGTATAATTACAGGCTGTGAGGTATTCCATCTTAGTCCTCCGTCAGTCTTCCTCAGTCCCTAGGCGTCAGCGCATTAGTAGCCTTCTTTGTTTGATGGTTTTTAGTAGTCATTTATCATCGGGTGGATTGTTACTTTCATCACTTCAGTTTTACGATAAGATAAAAATAAAAATGACAAAATACCTTCGATGAATAAGAAGTACCCATTTTTATTCTTCGACAACATCTGAATAGCTTTTTCAGTCATTTCACTCAATGCTGGGACATCATCGCCTGCCTCCAAGTGGTATGGTATATGATCATACGAAAAAAGCCCCAAGACACTATCATATTTCTTCAAATCGAGTGACTGCAGCTGTGTTCTATTGTACACGTATTTTGGAGACGCTCCCAGTGATTTTCTATTTAGCTGCCATTCTTTTATCAGGTCCGCATTGTCACGTCTGTATCCAGGATTACCTTCTATATCTTTTAATTTGTGGGACAGGAAGTTCTTTCTTCCACCCCCCATAATAACCTAAAACGTGTTTGAGTTATTATAAATGTGATACTTACACTCAGCCCAACAAAGAAAATAGACGTAGCCTTTTGTACATTTCAAATGACACCGGCAGTCATTGATTTATATATAAAAGTCAGTATTCGTAATTTCTTGACACGCACTTAGGCATCATTTTTACATCTTTCTTAAACAAATGTCAAAAGTTCACGGCTGGAAGCACAATTACGCACCTTAAACCATATTGTTGGTTGCAAATGGAAATAGACATGGAATTTGTATTCAATGCTGATTATAAATAATATTTAATTTTTGAAAATTATTCATGTTTAATTTACCACTGGTTAGAAAAATACTTCCGTCCTGGAAAGAACCAACAAGGATCTTGGTGGGACATTTTAAGTATTTTATAGTGTGTGTGTGTGTGTGTGTAAGTGCGTGTTTTTACAATAGTTATGTAATTGAATTTTACATTTCTTTGTTTGTCTGAGGAATTATGTCATGTTGCGAAACTAAACATTGAAAGAAATCTTAGAACCAAACCTAGAACAATACAAGATACAAAAATGATCAAATTTTATGAGACCACGAAAAGCACTAGCTTCAGTAGGCCAAGAAAAAGCTTTGAGGTAATATGAAAAAACTAAGTACATCCTCCTTTTTGAAGTCGGTTAAAAGCAAACAACGTTACAGCCTTTATAAATCTCACAGCTGGGAACAGAACTCCTCCCAGTCTACTCTTAGACACCGCACTGAGGAGCTGCTCCACATCCAGTGCGTGTTAGTGGACTTCACATGTCCTACATATTTAATTACTTACACATGTTCATCAGGTTTAAGGGCCGGCACCACACCTGCAATTCCTCTGGTGTTACGGATGTTCATGGGCGGCGGTAGTCACTTAACATCAGGTGAACCGTATGCTCGCTTGTCGCCTTTTCTATAAAAAAAACAGGTTCCCTTAGAATGTTTTCCGTTGCCGCCTAACGCGTTGTAAGTCAGCACTTAAATTGCAACGTACAATTTAATTGGTGCCGACGAGGATGGATCCCGGGTTACTCACATACTGTGCAAATCACAGTGTACACTTAGTGGCTCTTATCTCGCTTGAGACAAATTTGATGTGAAATTCATCTGTTTTCAAGGACAACGAAAACTCACTACTATGTTCCGATTTTTATAGGAGAGGGAATAAACCAGCATGCGGTTCAATGATGGTAAGTGATTACCGCCGCAAGGGGTTTTGTTTTTGGCGCTTTTTTTTGGTGGCGTTGTTTTTATCTGAAAAAAAAAAAGAAAAAAAAAAGTAGTAACCCTTTTTTTTTTACGATCCGTTTTTTTACCCGGTGTTAAATTTTTTTTAAAATTTGTTAATAAATGTATGCAGCCAAAAACAATCTCAAACCTCTCCAAGTGCTACAAAATCGTATCATAAATTTTTTGTATAACTATGACTTTTTAACACCAACTAAAACAATTTATAAAGAAACTAAACTGTTGAACGTTACTCAACTTTATACATACAGCACATGCATACTAATATACAAAATAAAACATAAATTAATCCACAAGCAACTCACGTTTTTAACAAAGAAGCAAACAAACAAATATATAACACGCCGAGCTAGTCACCTTGTATTGCCGAGAACAAACTATGGTAAAAATAATATAACGTATAAAGGAGCACAGTTATATTACAAACTGCCTAAATTTGTAAAGGAGGCGAAATCTTTGAATGCTTTCAAACAGAAGTTACTTGCCTACCTATACTCACAACAGCTAAATACCTAACCTAAATCATTATTAAATAAAAGTTAAAAACATTATTTAACTTGGACCACCACCTTATAATTTGAATAAGCAACAAAGATATTCGCTTCTTAAAAGCGACATCCAACAAAGTTTTATTTATACCCGCACTAAAAATTGTTATTACTAAATTTATATAGTAATTATTGTTCTCATGTAAGTGACGATTGTCTTATTGAGAAATAAAGATCTTTTAACCGAATAACTTTAAACGTTGAGAGTAATTCACTCAGATAAAGAAAAATTGGGACAGATCCTGCTGGATCTTGCGTATTGTTATTGTATCCATCCACAAACTGCCTTTCTTTTCCCACAAAACTCCTAACGATCTCAATAACTCAATTCCCTCAGCCTAGTCAAGGTGACTTCTTGAACTTAATTTCCCTGCTCGCCAAATATAATTAGACTCTTAAGTTTCAATTAGAACACTTAAAAAAGAGACAAGTATTATATTCATTACAGACAATACATAATGAAATAATTGATATCATTACAAAAACAGTTAGAAATAGCATTCCAAATGACATCAAAGAAGCGAAATACACGATAGTGTTCGATTGCACTTCAGATTTATCCCATACAAAAAGAAGCCAAGTAATTCTAACAAATAAGCCAAGTAATTCGATATGTAAAAAGAACTGGCGATGTGTGTAAAATAAAAGAAAATTTCATTGATTTCATTGAAGTTGCTGGAAAGACAGGAGTGGGCATTTGTCAACAGATTTTATAAAAATTGGCAGTTTGTGATTTAGATATTGGACAATTTCGTGGCCAATCTTATGATAATGGGTTCAATAGGCTGGCATCCATAAAGGAGTACAAGTCAGGATTGCAGAAAGGAATGAGCTGGCCGAGTTCGTACCATACTTGCCTCACTCCTTAAATCCTGTAGGTGTTCATTCTGCCTTATCATGCCAGGAAGATATTCACCTATTTGGACTGATTCAAAAAATATATTGATTTTTTGTAGGTTCCACTACTAGGTGGGACATTATGAAAAATATGTTAAAACAAGAGGGAAAAGGTTTCGGAGAGATTAACCTAACACGATGTAAGTCAAATGCACAAAGAGTGTATGATCAAGTTGAAAACAGGGGTACAATAAATGAAATCATGCCAGGGTATTGATCAAACATTCGGAGAGTAATTCACTCAGAGAAAGAAAAATGGAGACAGGTCCTGTGTATTTTAATGGATGCTGTATTGTATCTGTGTACAAAATGAACAAAAGGAAGTGGCAGACGAGATGGTCGGCGAAACATGTTGCTGTGAATGTCCTATTAAATAGTTTGCCAGAAATATCGGAAGCCTTAGAAAAAGTTAAGCAAACTTCTCATACTCCAGAAGCTAAGTACCAGGCAGGTCATCTCTTAACTGCTATAAAGAATTTTAACGAGTAAAATATTATAGTGATCTATGTCAAATAGAGCAAGACGGATGATCAACGGATGTCTGACTCTTACATAGGTTTTTTCCCTGAATGACTTTTAAATGGAGAATTCAAATCATTTGAATTGTGGGGTTGGGTACTTGGTGAGGCTAATGCTGAGGCAACATCTTCATAATTACAGCCCTTTACATATCTACTGCTGAACATAGACCAAGCATGTATAAAAAAACCTTTGAGGCATTCAGGTATAAATTCCGAATCAATCGATTATAAATCATAGATTATAAATTTTTATTTGCAAGAATCGCGGTATAAAAAGATCTTACAATATATCTAGTGCAATCGTGTTTCGCTAACAATGGTAAATAGCATGCAAATACAGAACCAACAATATTAATTAATTACAATCTAAAAAATCTTTTACATCATAATAACATTCGGTTTTTAACCAATTAAACAAATGTTTCTAAAATAATCGTTCGTTTAATATTAGGTAGTTTATTAAATATTTTTATACACATATTAAGGCAACTTTTGTTGTATTTAACGAATCTAGGAATAACATCTATAGCTAGTTTTTCTGGGTTACATCGGTTCCGGGGATATATATGACACGCTTTAATAAACAGTTTTGAAGGACCTGGTGGCGGAATTATACTTCTTTTTTTAGAGCACTGGTGTTAACATCCCGGGACGTTGATGCGTCAGCCCAGGCTTGGTAGCACTCCTGATTATAACATGATGCTATTTTACAGGAGCGACCAAACCATGCCTGAGATTTGCCTCCGATGGGCACCACAGAGGAAGGAATATAAAGATCCATACCCTGAAGTACCATATCAGCGACAGAATCCGCAACAACTTTGGGATCGTCCGGCGAGAAGCAAACCCGCCCCCAAGGGTACGATGTAAATAAAGACCGCATCCTATCCCAATCGGCTGACCTGTAGTGCCAAACACGGCAGCAGCCTGCGGAATGCAACCGCGATTTCAGCGTGAGTGGCACCACACTCCAGACAAGACAATGGTCCGAGGAGCCTAAAGGGGCGTCTGATCTGATGAAACTGATATCCGTCCGGATGAGAGGTCAGCAGAAGGTCCAACAGGGAAGGTGCGTCATCCACCACATCTTGAATCCACGTAGGCGAAGTAACCAGTTGTGTCAGACCATATGCCAAGGCAAAATCATGAACAGATCTCCCAGAATGATCGGTTAAACGTGAACCATGCCACTCGTCGTGGTGGGCGTTAAAATCGCAGAGGATCACAATCTTCGTGGAGTGGATCTGCTGTAGCAAATAATCTGTAGCCATTTAGACGTGGTCGAAGAGTCGGTCTGTTTCGGCATTATAGAGGAACTATAGGGGCACCCGTAGACACGCGGGTGGTCGTCGCTGTCTACGTGTAGCCAAAGGATGGACAGGACGAACCTTCAAGACTGCCGAGGCATCGAGTACAGATGTCCGCTCTGACGTATACGCAACTCGAGCCCGTTGCACAAAGGAGTGTTCCAGTTTGTACTCCGGGTAGGAGAGATACGAAACATCAGCCGGAGAGGACACCTGTATCTCGGTCAGAAAGTGCAGAGCCGGCCTTACCGTCTCGAGATGGCAATGGACGGCGTTTCGGATTCCCCCCCCCCCCAGAATACGTGGGGCAGCCTGAGCACTCACGCTCAGGAGTGGAGTAATTTGGTCGTGGATTCTCGGTTGTTTGCTGTACCATCCTGCGTTAGATCTTTACTTAATTCCGCTACCATGTTTAAGGGGAGGGGGATCGGGCCTCCAGCCACCTACACTCACCAGACTAAACGCGGAGGCTGAGCTTCCACTTCACGCCGGTATTTTGTGAGGTAGTGGTACCACCCCGGTTTGAGCCGGCCCATACGTGCAACAGGAAAGCTGCCGCGTGGCTCTACCACTGTTAAAGTTAAGTTTGAAGACGAATTACAAACACTTCAACTTGTTCAACTATTTCCTAAAGAAATAATGATGGTATTTGATCGAACCATATAAGAAATTAAAAAGAGGTTTGACTGTGCTACCATATTGAATTTAAATTTTGCGTTTCTTAATGGTACTATATTTTGGAAATGTCTATTAAGAACTGCAAAACTATAGAGCAGATCTGGCTCGAGAATTTCAATTTCCTGCAACGGATCTATGCGCATGATTTGCAGGATGTTTTTGTAATATTTGTATGGCCCTGCGTATTTACTCTATGCTTCCTACTACATCTGCAAGCTGTGAGCGAAGTTTTAGCATAGTAAAACTAATTAAAAATTTTAAACAACCTTCCATGAGTCAGGAACTCTTATCGAGTCTTGCAATCTTAGCGATAGAAAATAGAATTGCACACGAGTTACATTATAACAAGGCCATAGATTTATTTCCTGAACAAAAAAACTCGAGGAGTAAAACTGTAATTTCTACTCACAAATTCAATAATATATTTGATTTTTATTTTTATTACACATTTTTTATTTGAAATCCTATCCAGTGCTGTGTATAAAATAAATAACCTACACGTTCGTGAATAAATAAGGCCTAAGTTCAAATGTCAATCAATTAATGGACATCTGATAGCTCAAATTTTAAAAATGATGGGTAAAAAAGTAAGCGGGGGAGGCATTTTTCAGTTTTTACACCGCCTAAAAAATTTAAAGATTCGGGGCTGCTATGTCGGTTACTCTGGTTCTACTGCGGATATCCTTATTTCTAAGTTTACACCTGTTAGTTGAGTACATGCTTATGTAAAGACCCAGTTATAAATAACCGGTAGAGGATGAAGCCCATTAGATTTCGATAAAGCCTGGTAAGCAAGGAAAGCTTTAGATGTATTAGATCACGTTGATTATATATGCTGTTTTTGTGCTTCGTTGGGATCGGGTGGCCGAGCGACCGTCGTACTTATTTATTCCTTCACTTTAATAATGTTTGAGTTTATATATGTAAGTACCCGGATGACCGAGCTTTGCTCGGTTTTTTAAGTTACATTTATATACAAATTACATGAATAATAGTTTTTGATCTTATTGACATAATAGAAAAAAACTGAACTGGTTATTTGAATAAAAAATCATGAGTGCAATTAGTTTAATTAAAATGTTTGTATTTTTAAAAAATACTGAAAAAATGGCTCGAAATAATAGATTTTCTTACAAAAGAAGGGAACTTGAAAGAAAAAGGGAAAAATGTCGGACCAAAGACGGGACGCGAACCACGGAACTCCGATATCACGCCCGAACAACATCCCATCTAAGCTATTACGATCGTTGGTAACCTGTCAAAATTTACCTTCTTATATTGTAGCAGTTTTTTATTGCCTGAAAACACGGACAAAAGGACATTTTCTAAAAATAAATCGTAGCTAGATCGATTTATTGCCCCCGAAACTCCCTGGACACTAAATTTTATGAAAATCGTTGGAGCCGTTTCCGAGATCCCGATTATATATATATATATATATATATATATACAAGAATTGCTCGTTTAAAGGTATAGGATAACACGCGTAGATCAGAAAATAAGAGTGAGAATACTAATCTAAAAATTATTGTGTCGTAATCCCTTCTTAATATGTCCGCAAACAGACGCAGTTATTTAGACGTCCGATAGTTAAAAAACTGAATTTACATACATACAGATGTTTGTTGACACATAACCATATCCATGTAAATATACATACATACCTATATGCTTACACATAGAGATCAAGCTAATAAACACGTGTTAAAAATAGATGTGGTAGTGATTTGGTATGCTCGCAAGTACTCACCCTGGTGTAATAGCGGGAACCGTTTCTAGTAACATTGATCTGGATTTCGCCTTCATCATTTTTTCTCGGGATATTCGAGACAAAAATATTCTGTATATCATTATTATTATTTTTTATAGGAGAAGGGGCAAACAAGCATACGGCTCACCTGATGGTAAGTGATTACCAGCGCCCATGAACAGCTGTAGCACCAGGGGAATTGCTAGTGCGTTTGATTTATTAATTACAAGAGTTTAAAAAAACTTAAACAGCAAGGTTGGTAATTTTTAGATTGTCATCGGCCTTTGATACGAGTGCAAATTTTCAAGTTAATGAGACACATGTTGGTGAAATGAAAATAAAATTAAAAGATTAAGTCACATAGTTATATATATATATATATATATATATATATATATATATATATATATATATATATATATATATATATTTTATTATATATATATATATATATATATATACACGCGAAGCTTATAAAAGCGTATTAAAAAAATAAAACTCTACTCACGTCAATTCTACTTCCCACTCGTCCTCTCACCAGCTGCAGTGCTATATCATCACAGCGACTGCCCTTTGGCATGTCAGTATCTGCCTCCCATTTTCTGTCCGCTGAATGAGCGTACGATGCCGCTGGAGTGGCGTGCGTGATTCTTGTTGTTGTTACTATACCTGGTTAGAGAGATATAAAACAAAAGTATGTTTTTAGAAAGTTTAAAATAAAAAAGTATGTATGATTCGGACTATGACGATGAATAGCTGAGGACAGACCTCACTAACATTCATACGCGATATTTATAGAGCCACGCTCCAGCTACACTACAGTTGAAGCATGAATTGATCAGCTCGGTCAGGGTAGGATAACGCTCTCACATAATACTAGCGTTAAATAGCAGCTTAATGCTGCTGCGTTTCGTATGGTGAAGGAACGGAGCTAGTGGAAATTAGCCTAGGGTAGATCTTGTTTAAAGAAGATATGAGTACTGCATTTACAGTATGCTATTTGTTACTTATTCGTTAAAAAGTCAAACATTTAAAAAAGAGCCACCACCCACAGGATAAAAATCCTTGAACCAATTTTCATCTAGTGGGTGACGTACGAGAGACATTTATAAGAAACTATATAACTTCCGATAGCTGGTGGTAATAACCTTTCGTAGATTATGGCTTTTAAGCTTTGTTGGATCGGATAACAAAAATATTAAGATCATTAACGTCATAGGTATATTCGCTTTTAATTTGGACTTCCGAAAATCAACAACTTCAACATGGGAATTTAAAATGTATGTCACATACAACATGTAACAAAAACGCTTTGGTTCTCGTTGAGTGCTTTATCAAAATCAGTATTCACACGTATATAAACAGCTTTCCTTCAGAGAACTCAACTGTAAAAAAAATAATTTAATTATAAATTTTTATTTACAAATTGAATATGGTTTTATTGCTTCTGCAAAACAGTATTGTCAAAGACCCCGCTTTACCGACGCGTGTGTCAATTAGAGGTAGTAAAACCTTTAACAATTTGCGAATAAAAATGTATACCTTTTTAATTCATGTTTTTTGGTCGATGGTTGTCTACATGTTGTATATATTCCTTAATATTTTTGCCAAAACACATATTTATATATTTTTAATATACTTTAATACTATATTTTTATAGAATAAGGCTTGTAGACGTGTGTAAGATCACCCTTTCATTGAAGTCGGCACAGTGGTGGCGGTGTAAGAATATCTACTACCCCATATTATCCCGTTACTTACTTACTTACTTATTTCACGCACAATCCCTAACGGGGTAGCCAGAGAGAACAGATCGCCAAGTGTCACGATCCTTACATACCTCTTTCGCTTCTTTCAGGTTCATTAACTTCTTCATACATGCACGTCTAGGTATCCGAGTATTCTTGACCCTCCCCTTTTCGAGCAATTTGCTCACATGGTCTTCGAAAGTTAGTCTCGGTCTACCTCGACACCTTTTAATATTTACTTTCGCTCTATATATTTTCTTCACTATTCGGTCTTCACTCATTCGTTCAACGTGCCCAAACCATTGGAGTACGCCCCTATTAATTTTTGTGATAAGGTCATCTTTCAATCCTGCCATATTGCGAATCTCTTCGTTTCGCTTTCGTTCGGCTAAGGTAACGCCACACATTTTACGAAGAGATCGCATCTCCACTGCATTCAACTTGCTTTTATGCTTCTTCTGGCATACCCAGGTTTCGCTGCCATATAACAAAAATATTATCCCGTGGGTGTCGCAATAGGTGCGCAGCAGCGTCTTTCTAATAACGACTAAAAAAAATAACTAACCTTATTTAAAAAAAAACGCAGACGAAAATGCGAAAGGTAATTTGATTATGTATCGTTTAGGCCAAGTATTATTTTTACGTAATACTATTTTCTGGATGTTAGCGCTGTTAGTCTATACGACTCGTACACTATCATATGACTAGCTCGCGTACTGCAACTAATTAAAAAAGGGAAAGGCAATGAAGTGAGGATGATGATGAGTGGTTTATGATTTGGTATTGTTACAATGTCATGTCGCCTTTTTAGGCGTTTCTTGAGCTATCTAACCGCAGTCCGAGGGGGGGAGTGCGGACCCCCGTCTCTGAGTGCTCAGCTCGTGTCGGTCGATGGTCTGGGCGGTGAGAACCGCCCAGGGTGTACGGTGTGTACGCGGTGTGAGCTGGAACGCGTCGTGCCCGTCTGCAGGTGCGACGCGCCCCATTCGTTATCCTAGCAGTGTTTGTCCCATTTAGTGTGGGTGTAGTGTCATTGTGTGATGTACCTGCGACGTTTGGGTCGACTGGATCGAGCGGTTTTGCGTAATACGGTGACAGAGTAACAAACATTTTAAAACTTGTTACAATATGACACCGCTTAATTTCACGGTTAATAGCAACTTGTAAATTATATTAACATATTTACTTTTGTAAGTTATGGCAATTCGTAACGTAGATGCTGTTTCACGCGTTGAGCAAAAATTTTAATACTGATCACTGATCATTTTGGCGAAATAATCTTTATTTATTCATCTCATTCTCTACTCTATTATAGTGATCTATGTCAAATAGAGCAAGACGGATGATCAACGGATGTCTGACTCTTACATAGGTTTTTTCACTGAATGACTTTTAAATGGAGAATTCAAATCATTTGAATTGTGGGGTTGGGTACTTGGTGAGGCTAATGCTGAGGCAACATCTTCATAATTACAGCCCTTTACATATCTACTGCTGAACATAGACCAAGCATGTATAAAAAAAAACCTTTGAGGCATTCAGGTATAAATTCCGAATCAATCGATTATAAATCATAGATTATAAATTTTTATTTGCAAGAATCACGGTATAAAAAGATCTTACAATATATCTAGTGCAATCGTGTTTCGCTTACAATGGTAAATAGCATACAAATACAGAATCAACAATATTAATTAATCACAATCTAAAAAATCTTTTACGTCATAATAACATTCGGTTCTTAACCAATTAAACAAATGTTTCTTAAATAATCTTTCACTTAATAATTTAAATTCATTAGGTAGTTTATTAAATATTTTATACACATATTTAGGCAACTTTTGTTGTGTTTAACGAATCTAGGAATAACATAATGATTTCTTATATTTACGCGAACACTACACATTGATTAAAACTACTTTTACAGATTTTATCGCGTTTATTTTACTATTATTTTTAATTCCCGACGTTTCGGGCGCTTTCCAGCACCCATGGTCACGGGGGACTGAGATGACTGACGTTCCAATGTCATTGTTAAACCCGGAGTACCTTCAGCTATTTTAATTATTGTTTATGGTCCGGTCTATGTAAAATGAACTGACTATGTCCTGAGGTCTTACAGCGGTATGCTTGGTTTTAGTTTTAATTTTATTGATTATAGGGTCCCAAGCAGGTGGTACTACCCAGCCTGCTTCTCTATTGAAATTAGGATGTTTTTTAATTTCAATAGCCTCACGTATCGTCCTTGGTAGGAATCGGTGTTCTTTCGCGAGGGTTTGTGGTGTATCAAATCTGATGTAATGGTTGGGGCCATCTAGGATATGATCGCAAACTGCAGACTTCCCGGAACGTTGATGCTTCACATCAGCTATATGTTCTTTTACGCGGGTTCTAATGATCTTTTTGTTTGTCCTATATAAGAGAGACCACATTCACAATCAAGCTTGTACACTCCTGCATCTTGCAGAGGAATATGACACTTGACTGATGGTAGGAACTGACTAATCTTCTTCGGCGGCTTGTAGAATGTTCTAATAGAACTCGCTTCAAGATGTAGCCAATCTTGTCTGTGACACCTCTGACATATGGTAGTACATGCGTACTTTTTCAACGTATTTTGAGGTTTATTTCATATACGTAGGTATGTAACTTTATTTCGTATTTGCCTAGAGACAGTAACTGTCTTAAATAAAATACAATTGCGTGGCATATTTTTAGTGTGCCAGCTACCCACCCGTGAACGCACCCGGGCAATCCAGAGCCGTTTATGATATGATTTTAAGATGAGAGTATAGATGTGGATATTTATGGTCTACAGTAACCATTTACCACCAGGTGGACTGTGTGCTCTTTACCGACACCCCTATCCTATTTAAAAATACACCACGTCGCATCCGATGCTCTGTGATATTACTCGTGTGCGGCTGATACCCTACGCTCAGAAGTATTGGAGTCCTACTACTGTCGGTGACTTGACTCTGACTTGAAGGATGTTTCTGGTACTATTATTGCTAGTCCGTCTGCCAAGTAAGTAATTAGGTCTGATCATACAATATATGGCCGTGTAGTGGCTGAGTAACAATATACACTACCCCATAACATTCTGTGGGTGTCGTAAGAGGCACACAGAGGGAAAAAAATCATGAGATGATCAGAAGTGTCTTCGTAATTACGACTAAAAATAAAGATCTTCGTTTGCCAACTCACATTCCAAGCGTGGCAACTATTACAAATATCTCCACTACAAAGAAATTTATGGGGGAGTCTATGTTCAACAGTGGACCTTAACCGTTCAATCCCCACAGAATCCCATGCAGTCGCATGCGTCCGTCAAATCCCGAGCAGTCGCATGCGACCACACCCACCCATAGCACTATAAACAATTAAAACTTATATTTACAGACTACTTTTCTATGAAAAAAGTTTGGCATTATAAATCTATACGAAATTCTCTATCGTGTAGTCTAAACAAAAGTCAGGTTTTACTTCATTACATATTTTGATAACAGAAAACGGATACATACCAAGCGGATGTCGGCAGCGTGAAAATCACTATTATTTCTATATATTACTCAAAATTATTCACGTAAAAAGATAAAATACAATTGTGTGGCACACAAAAACTTTCATACTAATTTTATAATAAAACACTCCACTAAAACACTAGAAAAATCCAAAAATCAACACAACAAAACACAATAACATCCACACGAAAATGGCGTACGTAATGAACGTAGATTATAAATAAATAACCCCATAGAGTAACTGACTTTTTATTGCACTAAAGGATAGAAAATTTCATATTGAGCTTATAATGCCAAATTTTTCATAGAAAAGTAGTCTCTAACCATAAGTATTTATGGGTTAAAGTGCTGTGGCTGGGTGCCGCCGAATTCGGTCGGACGCAATATCGCCGCGATTGAAATCGGCCGCTTGGTAGCTAATAGGCTGTAGCGGTTTGCTATATACGGAGGAGGCTCATGCCCATCTTAGAACTGTTTACGAAAATATACCTTTTTTTAGCTAATAGTTGATAAATAAATGGCGATTACGGGTTAAAACCAAGAACCAAAGAATTAAATAGATGCGTCTTAACCTTGAAAATCTGTTGCATTATTTTTTAAAGTGTGCGTTTGCAAGACGCCGACGCGTGCACCCTAATGCAATAGTGTCATCTCTTATTATCTTACGGAAATTCTGTATACTACTTTCTCTGTCTACTACGCCATTTCCGTCTGTTTATGTCTATTTATAGGTGATCCCTTTATAAACCGCTTCCTTGGTACATCCGGGTATCTAAATAAATTGGTTATTAGAAGAGTACTGAGACAATAATGTCATCTCTTATTATCTTACGGAAATTGTGTAAACTACTTTCTCTATCGCAAGGTTTCCGTTTGCCCGTAATTATTTCATGGTATTTTCTGACATCGGAATAAAATAAATTCAATATTTAATAAGATATAGATACTTACGAGTGGAATGTTACAGCTTGGGCTTTATTTGTGTTTCTAGAATTATTATTGCACTTTCGAAAGGCATTCGATGGCATTCTGAGAGTTGTTTTTTTTTTTAGTGAAATCAGCGCGTTAGTTCCAATGTGCAACTACTGGCTGCCACCGGGCACAAATGAGCACTGATTGCGAATGAGTGAGCTCACTCGTTTGAGAGTAAATACATTTCGTAGTGGTCACACTATGGTAAGGGCGCATCTAACTATTTAAATTTTTGCAAGTAACTGTCATTTTAATAGGGGGGATAAGCTACATTACTGTCATCCTGCATGAATTTTCGAACGATGCGACATGTATTTAAGGATGCTGCTTTTTGTATATTAATGTATGAGTATTATTATTATTATTGATAACGGATTAGTGAGCTTTTAATAATAATTTTCAAATCCCACTTTTAATGTATTAAATTTACACCAACACATACCAGTAGCTTTTCCCGCTTTTTGTGCCCACTCCATGAGCCCGGATACAAAATGAACGCCTTCCTTCTGTCCGGAGCAATCGCCGCGTTTAACAGCAGCGCTGAGTCCCAATGTACCACTGTTGGCTTTAACTCCAGCCAAATACGCCGTTCCACTGCACGCTGAGTCCGCCACATTGCTATCCACGCAATAAGTCTGAAACGAAAAATCCTATGTGTTAAATTATTACTTAACACACCTGCTAGTCAATGTTTTTATACATACCTATTTAGAAAAAACATTTTGAACCGTAACAAGCGTAGTAGCTAGTAATTAAATAAAATCTAAATGTTGTGCATTTTGTCCCATCTCGTCCCATGGATGACGTAAGATTATAATCTCCTTTACGCAGACCGGCGACGGGGAGCAGCGTCGAAGGTGAGTGACGTCTTTTACTGCCATCGTCAATCCACGTACCAAGTCGATCCGGGTTTCCAACGAGTAGAGGTTACAAACTCATGAAAAATATAATGTCTACTAGCTTGGCAGGCAGACGTTGTTTTGCCCTTTTCGACGACCCTTTGTCATGTCCTATTAAAAATTCTTAAATTCGCAAATAAAAATGTGGGACACTCATGGGCAAAAAAACTATCCTATCTCTCAAGTTGGACCAAACTGCAGACGGTGTGAAAATTTTATTAAAATCGGTTGAGTAGTTTATTAGGAGTTCATCGCGGACAAACAACATGACACGTAATTTATACATATTAAGATAAAAAAGTAGAGTAACAACATTCACACTTATGAAAGAGTTTTGATTAAGGTAATAAACACACACGCTGCTCCAATTTCCGTAAAATAACTTCACAAGTCTTAGAAATTTATATGTTTATATAATAATTTGAGATGTATTTCTTTACCGCTGAGTACAACGTGGTAAATCAGTATTTACTATGGAACTATCAGGAATCGAACTCGTTGTTTGTGCTTCATTTAAATCACTTTAAAGGAAAGGTTTAGACTTACCTTTGCTAATCCTGTATATGGAAAAGCTTCAAAACTCAACTTTATTTCTTCTCCTTTATGACCATACTTTTGTCCGAGATATACTCTGGTTGCCGCAAGGGTTGTGATGCTCATACCATCGCCCAGAAAGAAGATGATATTTTTCGCTACATTTTTGTTCAGAGAACTGGATACCTGATGAAAAATAAATCACCATAATTGGTTCGATAATAATAATAATAATAATGATGGTGGAGTACGCCGCATGCGTTGGACAACCCAGATGAACAACAACGCATTGCGGGCGTATTTTGGGGCGAAAGGGGGGAGAAACTGGATGTTTGGCGTATCGGGCTAGGATGCATCGTCTTTTTGCTGAGCTGGAGCCATCTTTAACCGTCACAGAGCAAAACCTGGCAGACCGAGTTCGGTATATCTTGCGCTCAAATATATTTGATGTCGCCGAACTCGAACGGCTACGACGTGAGGCTGTTCCCTCGTCGGATGAGAATGCTACGGCTGAGGATGCGGCGCCACAAATGGTAGAGCAACCCGCAAACGTGGATGCCGCCGTGAATACCCCAGTTGTGGTTGATTCAAACGATGATGGAACAGTCGCCCAGGAACTGGAACTAGAGCATATGAGGAGTACATTGGAAGAGGCGATTGTGGAAACGCGCAGTACGACTCTCGAAAATCGACCGCGACTTCCCCGCATAGCCCTAAGCAAGCGGAATCGGGCTGTCGTGAGGGCTCTGAACCCAATGCTGGTGACCTATTTGGAAGCCAGCCGGGACCTTTGCGAGACGGACTCAATTCTTTTTGGCGCCGCGCTGGCAGTCTGCCGTATCATAGGCGCCAAGGTTTCCACGGCTGGACGCGCTACTGGCCATAGTAGCGCTATCCCAGCCTGGAGAAGAAGAATTGAGGAACGTATCGCAAAGGCTAGAGCTCTCATCGGCAGACTGATATGCTTCAGATCAGGCAACAACAGGCCAAGAATTGTGCGCACCGTCAGGATGGCGTTTGCTGGGACAAATGTCAGTTTGTCCCAGCCGGATATAACGCAAAAACTGACGGAGCGCATAGACGATCTGAAGCAGAGAGTCGCTGCTTGGGGAAAACGGATTCGGCGATATACCGAGAGGTCGACACGGTTAAACCAGAATCGTCTCTTCCAGAGTGATCAGAAGAGGCTCTATGAATCATTGGAGCGACCAATGGTAAGTGGAACGGGTCCAGCACCGAATCAGGCCGACACTGTCGCATTCTGGCGCGGCCTGTGGTCAGAGCCCGTAAACCACAGCGAGGGCCCTTGGACGGAAGTTGTGGCGAGTCAGTGTGCGGGTATTACGCCCATGGACCCCGTCATCATAACGCCGGATGACGTAGCTGAGGCGGTCCGTAGGGCCCCGAACTGGAAAAGTCCGGGGCTTGACGGGCTGCATCACTACTGGCTGAAGGGGTTCATGGTGTGTCACTCTGTGCTCGCCCGACAGTTTCAAGAGGCTCTCAACCAGAAGTCGCTCCCAAGCCTCTTCACTACTGGGATCACTCATTTGGTTCCTAAAGACCAGGGTACCACAGACCCGAGCAAATACCGCCCCATCACGTGTCTACCGACCATATACAAGACACTAACATCCATTTTGAGCGCGAGAATCGCTTGTCACCTGGACTCAAATCAGGTGATGTCGCGCGCTCAAAATGGATGTCGGGGCGGTGGTCGTGGAACCAAGGAACCACTCCTCATTGACGCGGTCATTGGCAAAGTGGTGAAACGCAACCGTCGGAACTTCTCCGCCGCCTGGATAGACTACAGAAAGGCATTCGACTCGGTGCCCCATACATGGCTAAAGAGAGTCCTCGAGCTGTACAAGATAAACTGTACAGTTAGAAACTTCCTTGAGCAGTGTATGGGGCAGTGGAGTACGATCCTTTGTCATCTGGACGAGCGGATGATGGCTGCGGAGAACCACATAAGGATAAGAAGGGGTATCTTCCAGGGCGATTGTCTGAGTCCAATCTGGTTCTGCCTCTCTCTGAACCCTCTCAGTACCTTACTGGAGGGCTCCGGGAGGGGATTTCAGCTACGGAGAGGAGGGACAAAAGTGACCCACCTTTTCTATATGGATGACCTCAAGTTATTCGCCTCCAGTCGCTCCCATCTTATGGAATTGCTAAACATCACTTGTGAATTTAGCAATTCCATTGGAATGGAGCTTGGGACGGATAAGTGTGCGGTCCTCCATGTTGAAAGGGGAAGGGTTGCTAACTCTGAGGGCGTAGACTTATCTATGCCCGTCAACTTAAGGACCCTTTCCGAGGCTGAAACATACCGATACCTGGGTATGTCACAAAACATCGGTATCGATGAGACTGGTATGAAACAGTCAGTTTGCGACGTGTTTTATGCACGCTTGACCAAAGTGCTTAACAGCCTTTTGTCCGGTGTGAATAAGGCACACGCATATAACGGCTGGGTCATGCCTGTCCTCATGTATACCTTTGGCATACTCAGGTGGACTCAGACTGAACTTAACGCCCTGGATAGAAAAGTCCGCACTACCATGACGTCCCATAGGATGCATCATCCGAGATCGTCGGTAATGAGGTTGTACTTGTCGCGGAAGCATGGTGGTCGTGGCTTCTTGAGCGCGCTCACCATGCATAATCGCGAAGTGTGCAGCCTCCGTGATTACTTCCTGGCGAGATCGGATGATCCATTCTATATGGACGTCATTTCTTGTGATAAAGGACTTACCCCTCTATCCTTAGCCAACGAGCAATGGCAAGACCCGGCAGTGCAGAGCATTTCCGACCGAGAGACCGTATGGAAGGAGAAGGAGCTCCACGGGAGGTTCTACAAGGCTCTACATGAGCCTTTCGTAGACACAGTAGCCTCCCTCCACTGGCTACGCTTTGGTGATCTCTTCGGGGAAACCGAGGGTTTTGTCTGTGCAATACAGGATCAGGTTATTAAGACCAACAACTATCGGAGATACATCCTAAAGGATGGCACCGTCGACATCTGTCGAGCTTGTCGCCATCCCGGTGAGTCACTTAGGCATGTTATCTCCGGTTGTTCGGCGCTTTCTAACTCTGAGTACTTGCACAGGCACAACCTAGTAGCCAGAATTCTACACCAGGAGCTCGCTCTGAAATACGGTCTCGTGGACCGGAAATTGCCGTACTACAAGTACTTGCCGGAAGCCGTGCTCGAAAATGATTGCGCCAGGCTCTATTGGGACCGGGCCATCATCACAGACAGGACTATTCTTGCGAATAAGCCTGATATTGTGCTGATGGACCGGGCACAGTCAAGGATATTTTTGGTCGACATTACCATTCCGTATGACGAGAACCTCGTGAAAGCCGAAACAGACAAGCAAACAAAATATCTGGACCTGGCTCACGAGGTGACCGACATGTGGGGTGGTCTGCCGACCGAAATTATTCCTGTAGTCGTCTCTGCAAACGCGCTAATCCCAGTCAGCCTCTCGGGTCATCTGAGGCGGCTGGGACTACGTGGCGGACCGCTCCAGGTTCAAATGCAGAAGGCGGTGCTCCTCGATACCGCCCGCATCGTCCGCCGGTTTCTTTCCCTTTCCCCCTAACCCTCGGCCGTTTGGTCTCCCCTGCCGAGGGCCTCCATCTGGTTGGGCTTTTATTTATTTATGTACTTTTATATTTATTTTATGTTATTGATATTTATGTATATTTATTTTTTCATTTTCATTTATAATTATATATTTATAGAACCCAACCAGATGAGAAAACTATATAGATACCCCATAATAATAATAATGATGATGGAACTGTCGCCCAGGAACTGGAACTAGAGCAAATGAGGAGTACATTGGAAGAGGCGATTGTGGAAACGCGCAGTACGACTCTCGAAAATCGACCGCGACTTCCCCGCTTAGCCCTAAGTAAGCGGAATAGGGCTGTCGTGAGGGCTCTGAACCCAATGCTGGTTACCTATTTGGAAGCCAGCCGGGACCTTTGCGAGACGGACTCAATTCTTTTTGGCGCCGCACTGGCAGTCTGCCGTATTATAGGTGCCAAACTTTCCACGGCCGGACGCGCTACTGGACAAAGTAGTGCTACCCCAGCCTGGAGAATAAGAATTGAAGAACGTATCGCAAAGGCTAGGGCCCTCATCGGCAGACAGATATGCTTCAGGTCAGGCAATACCAGGCCAAGGATTGTGCGCACCGTCAGGATGGCGTTTGCTGGGACAAATGTTAGTTTGCCCCAGCCGGATATAATGCAAAAACTGACGGAGCGCATAGACGACCTGAAGCAAAGAATAGCTGCTTGGAAGCGGATTCGGCGATATACCGAGAGGTCGACACGGTTCAACCAGAATCGTCGCTTCCAGAGTGATCAGAAGAGGCTCTATAAATCATTGGAGCGACCAATAGTAAGTGGAACGGGCCCTGCACCAAATCAGACCGACACGGTCGCATTCAGAGCCCGTAAACCACAACGAGGGCCCTTGGACGGAAGTTGTGGCGAGTCAGTGTGCGGGTATTACGCCCATGGACCCCGTCATCATAACGCCGGATGACGTAGCTGAGGCGGTCCTTAGGGCCTCGAACTGGAAAAGTCCTGGGCTTGACGGGCTACATCACTACTGGCTGAAGGGGTTCATGGTGTGTCACGCTGTGCTCGCCCGATAGTTTCAAGAGGCTCTCAACCAGAAGTCGCTCCCAAGCCTCTTCACTACTGGGATCACTCATTTGGTTCCTAAAGATCAGGGTGCCACAGACCCGAGCAAATACCGCCCCATCACGTGTCTACCGACCATATACAAGACACTAACATCCATTTTGAGCGCAAGAATCGCTCGTCACCTGGACTTAAATCAGGTGATGTTGCGCGCTCAAAATGGATGTCGGGGCGGCGGTCGTGGAACCAAGGAACCACTCCTCATTGACGCGGTCATTGGCAAAGTGGTGAAACGCAACCGTCGGAACCTCTCCGCCGCCTGGATAGATTACAGAAAGGCATTTGACTCGGTGCCACATACATGGCTAAAGAGGGTCCTCGAGCTGTACAAGATTAACTTTACAGTTCGAGACTTCCTCGAGCAGTGTATGGGGCAGTAGAGTACGATCCTCTGTCATCTAGGCGAGCGGATGACGGCTGCGGAAAGCCGCATAAGGATAAGAAGGGGTATATTCCAGGGCGACTGTCTGAGTCCAATCTGGTTCTGCCTCTCTTTGAACCCTCTCAGTACTTTACTGGAGGGCTCCGGGAGGGTATTTCAGCTTCGGAAAGGAGGTACAAAAGTGACCCAACTTTTCTATACGGATTACCTCAAATTATTCGCCTCCAGTCGCTCCCATCTTATGGAATTGCTAAACATCACGTGTGAATTTAGCAATTCTATTAGAATGAAGCTGGGGACGAATAAGTGTGCGGTCCTCCATGTTGAAAGGGGAAGGGTTGCTAACTCTGAGGGCATAGACTTATCTATGCCCGTCAACTTAAGAACCCTTTCCGAGGCTGAAACATACCGATACCTGGGTATGTCACAGAACATCGGTATCGAAGGGCTGGTATGAAATTGTCAGTTTGCGACGTGTTTTATGCACGCTTGACCAAAGTGCTTAACAGCCTTTTGTCCGGTGTGAATAAGACACATTCATATAACGGCTGGGTCATGCCTGTCCCCATGTATACCTTCGGCATACTCAGGTAGCTTCAGACTGAACTTAACGCCCTGGATAGAAAAGTCCGCACTACCATGACGTCCCATAGGATGCATCATCCGAGATCGTCGGTAATGAGGCTGTACTTGCCGCGAAAGCATGGTGGGCGTGGCTTCCTCAGCGCGCTCACCATGCATAATCGCGAAGTGTGCAGCCTCCGTCATTACTTCCTGGCGAGATCGGATGATCCATTCTATAATGACGTCATTTCTAGTGATAAAGGACTTACCCCTCTATCCTTAGCCAACGAGCAATGGGGAGACCCGGCAGTACAGAGCATTTCCGACCGGGAGACCGTATGGAAGGAGAAGGAGCTCCACGGGAGGTACTACAGGCTCTACATGAGCCTCACGTAGATACAGCCGCCTCCCTCAACTGGCTACGTTTCGGTGACCTCTTCGGGGAAACCGAGGGTTTTGTCTGTGCAATACAGGATCAGGTTATTAAGACCAACAACTATCGGAGATACATCCTAAAGGATGGCACTGTCGACGTCTGTCGAGCTTGTCGCCATCCCGGGGAGTCACTTAGGCATGTCATCTCCGGTTGTTCGGCGCTTTCTAACTCTGAGTACTTGCACAGGCACAACCTAGTAGCCAGAATTCTACACCAGGAGCTCGCTCTGAAATACGGTCTCGTGGAGCGAAAATTGCCGTATTACAAGTACTTGCCGGAAGCCGTGCTCGAAAATGACCGCGCCAGGCTCTACTGGGACCGGGCCATCATCACAGACAGGACTATTCTTGCGAATAAGCCTGATATTGTGCTGATGGACCGGGCACAGTCAAGGATATTTTTGATCGACATTACCATTCCGTATGACGAGAACCTCGTGAAAGCCGAAACGGATAAACGAACAAAATATCTGGACCTGGCTCACGAGGTGACCGACATGTGGGGTGGTATGCCGACCGAAATTATTCCTGTAGTCGTCTCTGCGATTGGGCTAATCCCAGTCAGCCTCTCGGGTCATCTGAGGCGACTGGGACTCCGTGACGGACCGCTCCGGGCTCAAATGCAGAAGGCGGTACTTCTCGATACCGCCCGCATCGTCCGCCGGTTTCTTTCCCTTTCCCCATAACCCTCGGCCGTTTGGTCTCCCCTGCCGACGGCTCCCATCTGGTTGTTATTTATTTATGTAGTTTTTGTATTTATTTTATTTTATTGATATTTATGTATATTTATCTTATCATTTTAATTTATAATTATATATTTATAGCATCCAACCAGGTGAGAAAATTATATAGATACCCCATAATAATAAAATAGAAGTGTCACACTGTACTGGGATCGGTCAATTATCACAGACAGGTTTATAGTGGCAAATAAACCTGACATTGTGGTGATAGACCGAACTACACGCAAGGCAATAATAGTGGATATCAGTGTTCCTCATGACGAGAATCTCGTAAAAGCAGAGAATGATAAAAAAATTAAATATATCGACCTGGCTCTTGAGATTGTCGCTATGTGGGACGTTGATTCTACTATTATTGTACCAATAGTTGTTTCAGTCAATGGGCTTATTGGTAAAAATATGGACGATTATCTGTCCAAGTTAGGTTTGGGCAAATGGCTGAAGGAATTAATTCAAAAATCGGCCTTATTAAATACTGCTCGAATAGTAAGAAGGTTCCTATCTTTGGATGCCTAACTTCACCGATGGCTTAGAATTTCTCGCCACGGTGGATAATAACCGAAATAATAATATTATTTATTTAGATTGAATTTGTATTTATAATATTATAGTTTTGTGATATAATTTGTGATAAAAATAAATAATAATAATAATAATAATTGTTATTATTATTATTATTACAATCCTAAACCTCGGTCGTTTGGTCTCCCCTGCCGAAGGCTTCCATCGGGTTGGGCTTTTTATTTATTTATGTATTTTTGTATTTATTTTATTTTATTGATATTTATGTATATTTATCGTTTCATTTTAATTTATAATTATATATTTATATAACCCAACCAGATGAGAAAACTATATAGATACCCCAAATAATAATAAATAATAATTTTTTGCAAAGCTGGAGCCATCTCTATTCGTCACTGAGCAAAACCTGGCAGACCGAGTTCGGTACATCCTGCGCTCCAACATATTTTATGACGCCGAACTCGAACGACTACGACGTGAGGCTGTTCCCTCATCGGATGGAAATGCTACGGCTGGGAATGCGGCGCCACTAATTGCGCAGCAAACTGCAAATGTGGACGCTGTCGTCAATATTCCATTTTTGGTTGATTCAGACGATGATGGAATAGTCCCCCACGAACTAGAGAAAATGAGGAGCATATTGGAAGAGTCGATGCTGGAAACGCGCAGCATGCCTCTCGGAAATCGACCGCGACTTCCGCGCATACCCCTTAGCAAGCGAAATCGGGCTGTCGTGCGGGCTCTTAACCCAATGCTGGTGACCTATTTGGAAGCCAGCCGGGATCTTTGCGAGACGGACTCAATTCTTTTTGGCGCCGCACTGGCAGTATGCCGTATTATTGGCGCCAAATTTCCCATGGATGGACGTGCTACTCAACAAGGTAGTGCCATCCCAGCCTGGAGAAAAAGAATCGAGGACCGTATCGCAAAGGCAAGGGCCCTTATCGGTAGACTGACAAGCTTCAGGTCGGGTAATAATAGACCGAGAGTTGTGCGCACCGTTAAAATGGCGTTTGCTGGGACAAATATTAGTTTATCCCAGCCTGATATCACGCAGAAACTAACGGAGCGCATAGATGACCTGAAGCAAAAAATCGCTGCTTGGGGGAAGCGGATTCGACGATTTAGCGAGAGGTCAAGGCGGTTCAACCAGAATCGTCTCTTCCAGAGTGATCAGAAGAGGTTCTATAAATCATTGGAGCGACCAGAGGTATGTGGAGCGGGCCCAGGACCGGATCAGGCTGACACTGTCGCATTTTGGCGTGGCCTGTGATCAGAGCCCGTAAACCACAGCGAGGGCCCTTGGATGGAAGTTGTGGCGAGCTAGAGTGCAAGTGTTACGCCTATGGAACCCGTCACCATAACGCCTGAAGACGTGGCTGAGGTGGTCCGTAGGGCCCCGAACTGGAAAAGTCCGGGGCTGACGGGCTGCATCATTACTGGCTGAAGGGGTTCGTAGTGTGTTACGCTATGCTCGTCCGACAGTATCAAGAGGCTCTCGATCAGAAGTCGCTCCCAAGCCTCTTCACCACTGGGATCACTCACTTGGTTCCTAAAGATCAGGATACCACAGACCAGAGCAAATACCGCCCCATCACGTGTCTACCCACTATATATAAGACATTGACATCCATTTTGAGCGCGAGAATCACTCGTCACCTGGAGCTAAATCAGGTGATGTCACGCGCTCAAAACGGATGTCGGGGCGGTGGTCGTCGAACCAAGTAACTACTCCTCATTGACGCGGTCATTGGCAAAGTGGTGAAACGCAACCGTCGGAACTTCTCCGCCGCCTGGATAGACTACAGAAAAGCATTCGACTCGGTGCCCCATACATGGCTAAAGAGGGTCCTCGAGCTGTACAAGATAGACTGTACAGTGAGAGACTTCCTCGAGCAGTGTATGGGGCAGTGGAGTACGATCCTCTGTTATCTGGGCGAGCGGATGATGGCTGCGGAGAACCACATAAGGATAAGAAGGGGTATCTTCCAGGGCGATTGTCTGAGTCCAATCTGGTTCTGCCTTTCTCTGAGATCTCTCAGTACCTTACTGGAGGGCTCCAGGAGAGGATTTCAGCTACGGAAGGGAGGAACAAAAGTGACCCACCTTTTCTATATGGATGACCTCAAGTTATTCGCCTCCAGTCGCTCCCATCTTATGGAATTGCTAAACATAACTTGTGAATTTAGCAATTCTATTGGAATGGAGCTGGGGTGGATAAGTGTGCGGTCCTTCATGTTGAAAGGGGAAGGGTTGCTAACTCTGAAGGCATAAATTTATCTATGCCCGTCAATTTAAAGACCCTTTCCGAGGCTGAAACATACCGATACCTGGGTATATCACAGAACATCGGTATCGATGAGACTGGTATGAAACAGTCAATTAGCGACGTATTTTATGCACGCTTGACCAAAGTGCTTAACAGCCTTTTGTCCAGTGTGAATAAGACACACGCATATAACGGTTGGGTCATGCCTGTCGTCATATATACCTTTGGCATACTCAGGTGGACTCAGACCGAACTTAACGCCCTGGATAGAAAAGTCCGCACTACCATGACGTCCCATAGGATGCATCATCCGAGATCGTCGGTAATGAGGCTGTACTTCCCGCGAAAACATGGAGGGCGTGGTTTTCTGAGCGCGCTCATCATGCATAATCGCGAAGTGTGCAGCCTCCGTGATTACTTCCTGGCGAGATCGGATGATCCATTCTATAATGACGTCATTTCTAGTGATAAAGGGCTTACCCCTCTATCCTTAGCCAACGAGCAATGGCAGGACCCAGCAGTGCTTAGCATTTCCGACCGGAAGACCGTATGGAAGGAGAAGGAGCTCCACGGGGCTTTTCATGAGCCCTTTGTAGATACAGTCGCCTCCCTCAACTGGCTACGTTTCGGTGACCTCTTCGGGGAAACCGAGGGTTTTGTATGTGCAATACAGGATCAGGTTATTAAGACCAACAACTATCGGAGATACATCCTAAAGGATGGCACCGTCGACGTCTGTCGAGCTTGTCGCCATCCCGGTGAGTCACTTAGGCATGTCATCTCCGGTTGTTCGGCGCTTTCTAACTCTGAGTACTTGCACAGGCACAACCTAGTAGCCAGAATTCTACACCAGGAGCTCGCTCTGAAATACGGTCTCGTGGACCGGAAATTGCCGTATTACAAGTACTTGCCGGAAACCGTGCTCGAAAATGACCGCGCCAGGCTCTACTGGGACCGGGCCATCATCACAGACAGGACTATTCTTGCGAATAAGCCTGATATTTTGCTGATGGACCGGGCACAGTCAAGGATATTTTTGGTCGATATTACCATCCCGTATGACGAGTACCTCGTGAAAGCCGAAACAGATAAGCAATCAAAATATCTAGACCTGGCTCACGAGGTGACCGACATGTGGGGTGGTCTGCCGACCGAAATTATTCCTGTAGTCGTCTCTGCGAATGGGCTAATCCCAGTTAGCCTCTCTGGTCATCTGAGGCGACTGGGACTCCGTGAAGGACCGCTCCGGGCTCAAATGCAGAAGGCGGTGCTCCTTGATACTGCCCGCATCGTCCGCCGATTTCTTTCCCTTTCCCCCTAACCCTTGGCCGTTTGGTTTTTTTTTTTTTTTTTTTTTTTTTTTTTTTTTAAAAGAGGAGAAAAAAAGGGAAGGGAAAGGGGGGGGTCCCCTGCCGAGGGGTTCCATCTGGTTGGGCTTTTATATATTTATGTATTTTTGTATTTATTTTATTTTAATTATATTTATGTATCTTTATCTTTTCATTTTAATTTATAATTATATATTTATAGAACTCAACCAGATGAGAAACTATAACCCCACATAATAATAATAATAATACTTTATTTTCAACACTTGCATAACTATCACATTTATAAATAACTATTCTATGATCTATACCTAGTTCACAAAAATGATGGAACATCTGTGTCTGAACTAAATAAATATATATCTGTATTTCAGATCACAGTGCTCTTCCCTATTACATATTAACAGACTAACATAAGTATAACTTAAATAGAAGGTATACAACAGATAAAATGTGAATCTTAAACATAACAAAATGTGTTTTGATATAAAGAAAAATGGTATAATGTGTATTAATATGTATCTCTTTGTGTATAATATGTTGAATGCATGAGTGTGTGTAAGAACTTAACTAGTAGTAAGTAATGCATCAGTTTCTTCAAAGTTTAACTGATGAAGAAATTCAAATAATTTAATTTTGCATTTCTTTTTATTTAAAGTGTACAATTCAGTCTTTTTATTTATTTTATTATAAAGAAGTGGTCCAAGATAATAAAAATATTTATTAACGAAAGAATGACTAGAAATAGGTCTATTTTTGCAAACTTTATCTTTTCTTCGTTTAGATAACAAGAGATCTTTATTATAAGTTGAGCACGAATGTTGTTTTAACACTGTGTGTAGAATAAATAGTTGACGAACAGTGAGTACTCCAAAGGATTGATATAACTGAAACGTAGGGGAAAGTAAGGGTTTAAATGTGCATTCTTTAAGGATTGCTCTTTGTGCTATTTCAAGGGGTTTTAAGATCGATTTTGATGCACCTCCCCACACAGTAACACAATAGTTCAGGATTTAGAGATTATGTTACAGAACCGAATACAAAAGTATCCGGTTTCAAGTACGGAATGTTTCGGTGGTTTGGTCATGCAGAAAGACGGTTTTTTGTTGAATAAGAATTAAAAATAAGAACACACCATCATGAGAACTAATATAAAATTCCTTGTATCCAGTAAAAATGATCTCTGGTTCTCTTCATTCACTTTACGAAACATAGCAGCATTAAACTGCTATTTAACGCTGGTCTGCAGCATGGCGACAAAGAGCGACAAAGCATTATGTTGTAAAAGTGAGTGGCAGAGTTGGCAAAGGATGCCCTAGAAAGAAGTTTATCGACTAAATGGGCGATATATTAAAGCTGGCCCAAATTAAGAGTATGCTCTTAAACGACGAGCATGTATATGGAAGGAAGGAGAAAGGAGAGATGTGTCAAGATCGTGCCAAATAAAAGTCAGTATTCTACTCCTCTAAGTGTCAGGCGTGAGTGTTTGGTATTGTATCTTTATAAAAATAAATCTTTTACGCGTCCTATCTAATCACTCGAATATGATGAAACTTTGGTAATTTGTTGTGTACACGCTAACAATTTAATTGTTGAAAAATCAGAATTCTTTTCATTTTTATTCGTATTTTTGTCTTCTATGCATTCCTATGTCATTTATTCGATTACAATTTTTTTATAGAATAAAGGTGACAAACGGGCACTCAGTCCGATGATGTTGTGGCTTATGTTTTTGTAAAAGTTTTGGTGTGTTCCACCTATGAGAATTAAGATACAATGCCTCGAAACCGGTAAATGGGGTCTCCGATTCTGACTACTTAACATACAAAACTCAGCGGCATTAAGCTGCTTTTTAGGCTGGTATTCCGTGATTCTGTGGTCTTTTTCTGGTATGAGAGTAGGCCCATTCGTCCTTCAACTGTAATATAGTTGCAGCGTGACTCTAAAATCCTACTCCTCTTCTAAGAAAGTTGCTGTAAAAGCATCACTTACTCTGGGAAACTATGGACTCCACCCAGAAGAAGTGAAATTGCTCACAGCTAAACATCTTTTTCTATTCATTGAAGGCATAGGGCTTAACAGTGAACTATAGCCATAGCAGCGATCACAATAGATCTTTTAGGTCGCAGGGATACCGGTCTGTTTCCCTAGATCTGCATAGCTGCTCGCACATAATAGAAGAAAAAAACCACTTACTTTATTTTTTAATACCGACTGTGCTTGAATCTTCCAATGATCCTTGTTTTTCTCGTCAAAGTAAGATGTAGATGTATTATCTGCAATAAAAAAAAAACTCTATAAATATTTTAAAAATAGAAAAATTATTGTAACAATTAATTTCTCGTGCAGCTAATTCAGTTATCTTAAATTTAAAATTTGTTTAAATTCCTGAAAAAATATATTAATTATGTTCCACCAAAATACTTATATGCGTATACAATATAAGTATGTGTCACGTCTGTAATCACGATTCCTATAAGCTGAGGGGCTAAAAAAAGTCTTAGTTACGTATATCTAAAAAATTGGAAAGAAGTGTTATGGTCCAGAAGAAGCCTGCTGCGCTGGATCGGGAGAGAGTGGATCGCGCTCGGAGATGATGTAGTCAAGGCGTTCGTCATGGCTCTTATCTTATAAACTCTGTTCCCCTACCAATAATGCAAAATAGGCCCCTGAGGTTGCAGACACTCGGGGCGGGGGCCCCGAATACCTAAAGACGTAACTAGACCCTTTTTACTGAAAAGCATGTATTCCATCTTAGTCCTCAGATATGACAACGCATCTGCATTTTGATTTTTTACTGAAGATAAATGTAGATGTCTATGAGTCACAGTATCCACTTACCATCAGGTGGACCGTATGCTCGTTTATCAATCTATACTATAAAAAAAATCTGAATTCGGTCTTAGAATACGAAACCTGCTCTCCGCTTTAGATTTGGCAGCTAATCAAGCACATCAGTCTTTTATGTAGCTGTATCTAATCAAATTAATCCTCTCACTCTTACAGTCCCATGGAATGGCAATACCGTAGAGAGAGAAGGCGCAGAGCTTACCTGCTTTCCCATGCACGGCGGTGAAATACCTAATACTTCTTGACTTCGAGCTGCTACTGAGAACAACTTGGCGGATAAACTCAAAAATTACCTTACCATTAGGTGAACTCCATGCACGTTTGCCCCCGCTTCTGTATAAAAAAATGATCTTTTGCATCACGCTTACGGCCATTAGACCGATGAGGCAGTCAAGAATAAAATAGATTAACCTAAAAAAAAAGTTAAAATTCACTACCGGGTATAGACCTCTCCCGCAGTATGCAAGACATCATGTCATAATTAATTATTATTTGTACTCCTATTTTTAATTCAAGGCCGACTTCCAGAAATTTTCCCTGTTTCACTTCCGTATCTCGGAAAACAAGTAAAGTCGGCAATGTCAGATTGCTGTCTCACCGGACTATGTAAGAGAGGTAATGGAGCATGCAGCAGTGCTTGCGGGTAGCCTTCATTTAGACTGGTTACCGTTGAACCAATATTCGGTCTGATGTACATTATAACGGTTAATTTTTCAGAAGTAACACTAGATATTAAATTGACAAACTCGTATAAAATCGTATAAAAAAACGAACCCTAAATATATCCCACTATATATCCCACTTTTGAACACAGGTTTCCTCTCATTTCAACGATTCAGTGAATGTTGGTGGGCTTCACACTCCTTCAAATTATTTTATTTCTCAGACATTCCGGTTACTTTTACCTCCAAGTACGAGAAAAATAAGTACTTAAAATTGCAATGAACAATTTTATGGGTGCCGATAGGTTTCGAACCCTGATCACACGCTTTCTGTGAAAATAATGGTTTGCCTCTGAGCTAGTTAACTAGTAAGCTCGTTAATTCGTTCTCCTGTATCTTAGAGGCAGTTCACACGCAGAAATTTCTAAAGGACAAACTCGAATCCAGAACCGAAACAATTCTTTGTAGCCATACAAATACTTTTCCGTGTGGAATTCGAAACCGTGTCCTTCAACGCCCCAATTCATTACTAAGCCACTGTGCCACGAAGTTAAAGTTTATTACATCCTTGGCTTGTTTGGATATAGTTAACCTACACATTGAAAAGTAACGAAGTCTAACAACACGCAAACTACGTCTATTGTTTTAGAAAACAAGAAGAATCAGTTAGTATCTTAATTAAGATGACAACAACTTCATAATAATGGATTTCTGTGCAGTTGTACGATCCCAAGAAAATACCGTTACTGGCAGAATTAGTGATTGCTAATAAATTTATACGTTTCAAAATGTTATGGCGGTAATGAGTGTCAAATAATTTTATTATTTAATTTAGAAAAAAGTTACCTCCACACTAGGGTTTTGGATTTAGGACTATCCCCACGATACACGAGAGTAAGTAATGTCGGTTGTTATAGATTGCCAACACTATGAAAGTGAGAGAATGGAAAATGAACCAGTGTTTACGGGCAGATTCCATTGTACATACATAAATTTCACAAGAACATATATCCAGACCCAGAACAATTGTAGGTCATATAAATACTTGTTTCATGCGGGATTCGAACCTGCGAACCTTAGCGCTGCAACTCATTGCTACGCCACTGCGCCTCGGAGCCGTCTAATTCTATATAACTTTATTACTAAGTTAAACGGTTAAACAGTAGTGGTAGTCTCCGGATCTCTACACTCAACATACGAAACACAGCAACATTAAGCTGCTATTTTACGCTGGTATTCTGTGAGAGCGTGGTCCTTCTCCGGTCGAGCCGACCCATTCGGGCTACAACTATACTACTAATATAACTGCAGCATGGCTCTACCACGTACAAATGTGGTGAATACTCTTACATCACCACTATACCGTCTATTTACATGACGACACGTTATACTATTTTTACGCGTATTAAGTATGTGTTGGCCGTGTAGTGGCGGTTGAGAATATCCACTACCCCATATCTTCCCGTGGGTGTCGTAAGAGGCGACAGAGGGAGACAGGCAGGAGATGGGCAGCAGGTTCTTCCTGATAACAACTGGGATATAATACAAACCTGCGGTTGCCAACCCGCTTGCCAAGCGTGGCAACTATGGCAAATATCCCCCCATGATTAACGACGCAAAAAAACGGCCCCCAGTCCCCAGCGGCCCCGCTATTCCTGGCTACGGTGGCGACTATGGTAACGGCGGGGCAGGGGGTGCTAAGAATCTCCGGTGGAGTTTCGGTTGCCACCTACGACGACTCGACCTGGCAACATATAACGCACGCACCCTGAGGATTGACGAGAAGATACTGGAGCTGGAAGAAGAGGTAGACAAGTTACGCTGGCATATTATTGGATTATCCAAGGTCCGAAGAGAGGGGGAGGACACGGCAATCCTCGAGTCCCGCAACTTGTTCTACCACCGGAAGGGCGACCATCTGTCCCAAGGAGGTGTCGGATTTATCGTCCACAAGCCTCTCGTCAACAACGTTGTAAATATTGGGAGTGTGTCGTCGAGGGTCGCGTACCTGATACTCAGAATCACCAAACGGTCTTCGCTGAAGGTCATACAGGTTTACGCACCAACCTCGGCACATCCCGACGAGGAGGTGGAGGAAATGTATGAGGATATTTCCAGAGCTATGCATTCCTCCAAAACCCACTACACGGTGTTGATGGGAGACTTCAACGCAAAACTAGGCACAAGAGAAAGCGGTGAGCTGAAGGTAGGGAAATTTGGAGTCGGGCAACGGAACCGAAGGGGCCAGCAGCTGGCCGACTTTATGGAGAAGAGTCTTCTTTATGATGAACTCTTTCTTCCGGAAGCGGCCCCACAGGAAGTGGACCTGGTCGAGCCCCGACGGTTCGACAAAAAATGAGATTGACTTCATTATGACGACCAGACGCCAACTGTTCAGTGATGTTTCAGTGATCGCAAGGGTGAAAACTGGCAGCGATCACCGAATGGTTAGAGGCACACTCAATCTAAACGTTAAGTTGGTGAGGTCTCGTCTAATGAAATCAACGCTCCGTCCCCCTCGTGCTCTAATCCAGAATCCCGAAACCTTTCAGCTCGAGTTATAAAACCGCTTTCAGTGCCTAGAGGATTGCAATGCAGTGGACGATATCAATGACAAGCTCGTGGAAACTGTCCATGCGGTCGGAGCTAAGTTCTGCAAGACCCGCCACAGAAGAACACAAAAACTCTCCGAACACACTCTTAATTTCATGTCTGTTAGACGGGAGATGAGGCTGCAATCGTCAACAGATTTGACAGCATACAGGAAACTGAACAGACAGATCTCCAAACGCATGCGGCGAGACTTACGCAACTTTAATACTGCTCGTATTAAAGAAGCGATCGAGCAGAACCAGGGCTCCAAAGTCTTTGCCAGAGATCTGTCTGCCAGAAAGAGCCAACTGTCAAAGCTGAAGACTGAGTGTGGCAACATCGTTTCCGGGACACCTGAGATTCTGAGTGAGATTGAGAGGTTCTATAGGCAGCTGTACACATCATCGTTGGAGCCACACGCAAGTGTGAGTAACGATCCAAGAGCAAGTCTTATCCGACACTATTCCGATGATATCCCGGACGTCAGTCTGAGCGAGATTAGAATGGCTCTCCACCACCTTAAAAACGGCAAGGCCCCGGGCGAGGATGTAATTAGAGGGGAGCTTCTGAAAGCGGGTGGAACACCGGTACTTGAAGTCCTTCAGAAGCTCTTCAACCTCCATGGTGGCACTACTCCAGAGGCGTGGAGCAGAAGTGCGGTGGTCTTGTTCTTTAAGAAAGGCGACAACGCTCTCTTGAAGAACTACAGACCGATTTCTCTTCTGAGCCGCGTCTACGTGCTGTTTTCGAGTCATTACGAATCGTCTCGCACGCAGACTTTACGACTTCCAGCCTCCCGAATAAGCCGGTTTCCGAAAAGGCTTCAGTACCATAGACCACATACATACCCTGCGGCAGATTGTACAGAAGACTGAAGAGTACAATCTGCCACTTTGCCTGGCGTATGTGGACTATGAGAAAGCTTTGATTCCGTCGAAATTTGGGCGGTGCTACAGTCCCTTCAGCGGTGCCAAGTTGACTGTCGGTATATCGAAGTGCTGAAGTGTTTGTACAGTAGGGCTACGATGGATATCCGAGTACAGAACCAGATTTCGAAACCTATCCAACTGCAGAGAGGTGTAAGACAGGGTGACGTTATATCCCGAAACTCTTCAATGCTGCATTGGAAGACGATTTCAAGCTACTGGGCTGGAAAGGATACGGTATTAACA